GATAATAAGCAAGTCCTTAAGATGGGCAATTCCTACTTCATAGCAACTTGAGAATGGTATTAGTCATAAGAAAAGAGAAGTAAGATGAACAATTGTTGCTGCATGGCAACTTGAAGATAGTGTTAGTCATAATAAAAGGGAAGTAGTTTGCATTGGTTTTGGCATTATTGATATTTAATTTTTGAGTTATGTAATAAAAAATAACGTTACTTATATCAAAAACTTTCTCTACTTTTTTTATTTGATAATCAAATTTGTATTTCATCTTACTAATAACGGCGTGAGCCAATCTTTACGTCAAAAACCTTGTAAAGGTTTTTCAAATCCTGTAATATTATATAAGCGCTCAGGAAACTCCTCAATCCATGCTTCTTCCTTCCTTATCTCTTCAGCCACGCGTGCAACGGCATGAGCACCCCTATCACCTTCTCTTTTGACATGTTGAAATCCCTCACTACTTTGGTTGCTGTTGGGATTAGGCCCAACGCCCAATTCGGGCCACATATAACAGGCCCAACTATGCACATGCAGACCCAAGATGAGGAGACATAGCCACGTGAGCAGCACCACGTGGGCCAGTGAGTTACTTACACGTAGGAATACATGTCAGTATTTGGGGCTATAAATACCCCCCAACCACCAACAATGAAGGTAATTAATCTCTACGCTTCTCTCTCTGCAATTACTCCTTGAGAGCATCTCTCTCTAGAATATTGAGTATTGCTGACTTGAGCGTTGGAGTGTTTTCCCCGAGGAAACATCCTCGGGATTTTCAAGTGTAGAAGCAGCTGAAGACTTCAACAGTGTTGGATTGTGAAGCTGCCGAAACATTGGCGCCGTCTGTGGGAAACTGAACAAGAAGTTGTGTAACTTAACTTGCTGAAAGACAAAATGGTCCAAACTTTTACAGGAGGTCGCCCCCCAAGGAATGAGGTGGACGAACAGGAGGACGCTCAAGTATCTGAGCCCGGGTTGAATGACTTCAGGCCAATGCCAAGAAACCTCTTCGTCGGAGGAGACGAACAGGATCACTTAAGTGAAACAGATGACGAAAGAACACCAACTGGGTATACAACCCAGCCTGAACAGTTCCAAGTTCCAACAGGAACAAGACAAAGACCTTCTAGACCGTACCATTCACGGCATGAACGACCTGAAAGGTCAACAGAACCTGCTCGGACAGCCGAGCTCGAAGAGAGAACCAGAGTTCTCGAAGTGGCAATGGGAAAAATCCTTGCCCGTCTGATTCCAGATGACCCCCTGATTCCTTTGCTGAACAGGGATGCACAACCAGCTACGGTTGTTGCGACTCGAAACTCCCCTGCTCTAAGCAACATAGTGGTGCCGACCAGGCCAAGGGGAAGTGGAAAGCTAAATATCAAGCCCAGCTCATCCAAACACAGCGAAGAACTGTTGAAGAAGAACGCAGACCTTGAAAGACAGCTACGAGATGTACAAAAGTCTATAGACGAGCTGAAAAGTCCCAGGTCGTATCAGCAAACTCTTGATTTAGATAGCGCCCCGTTAAACCTATCCATCACAGCGGAACCGTACCAAGAGGGATTCAAAATTCCCCATTTAGAGACGTATGATGGCTCGGGCGATCCGGATGAACATCTGCACACTTACCAAGCCATCATGAGAATACAAAACGCCAATGATGCCATGATGTGCAAAGTGTTCCCAGCAACACTTAAGACAACAGCCAGGAGATGGTATCACAAACTCCCCAGACATTCCATAGACTCGTACTCTCAGCTCGCCAAGCTATTCTCCAACAAATTTGCGAGCCAAAGGGAGATTAAACGTACAGCGACTGAACTAATGCAGGTTCATCAAAAAGAGGGAGAGTCTTTGAGGGACTACATGCAACGATTCAACAAAGCTACTCTGGACATTGATAACGTCCCCGATACCATTTGCTTATCTGCCTTGTTGCATGGCCTGAAGCCCGGCCGGTTTTTGGACGACCTGCTGGAGAATCCGCCCAAGTCATGGAATGAAGTAAACGACAGGTCGGCAAGCTTCATATTGTCCGAAGATTTTCAATCTTCTAAGAGACGAGCTGATGACAGGCACGGAAAAGAACCCAAGCAGCCTGAAAACAGAGACGACAAGAAGAAACAGAAGGTTGGCGAGCAGAGAGGGAAACCACCCACTTATCCAAAATATGACAGCTACATACCCCTGAGCTCGTCACGATCCCAGATATTGTCGCAGATACAGCATTGCGTCAAGAGACCCCCTCCACAAACGCATGATCCTTCACGAGCTGACAGAAGCAAATACTGCGACTATCACCGTGTCTACGGCCATAATACAGAAGACTGTCAGAGTCTGAAGGACGAGCTCGAATTCTTGGCTCGCAATGGAAAATTGGAGGGGTATGTGCAGAAGCCTCTTGTTTGGCAGCCCACCCAGACCCACTTCGTACAAGAGTACGGCCGACCTCAAGCACCTAGGTATCAGCTCGGCAACAATCCAAATTCTTATCAGACAGGTCCGTACTCATTTGAGCAGAACAGAGCATACAGGGGACGCTTGTTCAATAGGCGTGGGCAAGGACAGAAAGCACCCGCGCAGAACTAAAAAGACCACAGAGGAGTCGGGTACGGTGGAATTCCCCCGCCATCTGGCACGATCAATATGATCTCTGGTGGTATACATGCAGGAGGTCAAAGTGCCCGGGCCCGCAAGGCGTATGCTCGCCAGGTGATGACAGTAAATAAGAACCGGCCTCTTAAGCGTCCATTTGAGGAGGCAGACTGGGAGAATACGGCCATAACGTTCAGCCCGACAGATTACCAGCGAGCAGGAGAGCCTAACATCGTGATGCCTCATGCGGATCCTTTTGTAACAACAGTCCATATAGGCAACCATAACATCAACAAGGTTTTCATTGACACTGGGAGCTCGCCTGATATCCTGTATTGGAGCTGCTTTCAAAAGATGCAGCTGAACCCCAACTCGTTACAAAAATATGAAGGGCCTATCTATGGGTTCGACAATCAACCTGTTCCAGTGGAGGGAGTAGTTACACTTCCCATTTACGTGGGCTCAGAACCACGCTTCAGGATGGCTTCAGTCAGCTTCCTGGTCGTCAAAATGGAATCAGCCTTCAATGCCATCTTAGGAAGGGCTACTCTGTGCGAATTGAAAGCTGTCATCTCACAACCCTATCTCTGCATGAAATTTCCAACGCCTCAGGGGGTAGGAGTGCTGAAGGGGAATCAGAGGATGGCCAGGGCGTGTTATCAGGATACGTTCAAGAAGGTTGAGCTCGCTGTAGCCCCTGGAGGATTTGAAAGTAGTAGGCCGACTCAGCCAGGCCAGCAGACAATGAGCATATCGGACCTTGAGCATAGACCCGAGGGAGTCGAGCAGAAAGCAGAGCCGGTAGAGCCAATTGAAACCGTTCCTTTAAACCCTGATGTGCCGGAAAGAACAGTCAAGATCGGCACCAAACTCACAGAAGAAGAGCGAGCAGAGCTTCTGGAGTTCTTGAGGGTCAATCAAGATGTGTTCGCGTGGACTACTGACGAGATGCCTGGCATCCCAACCGAGCTGACAGTCCACAAACTCAGCACGGACCCCGCCAGAAGACCGGTGGTGCAGAAACGTCGCCTCTTTGGCCCAGAGAAACAAGCTGCCATAGACGAGGAGATACAGAAGCTGCTACAAGCAGGCTTCATCAGGAGAGTGGAGTATTCTGAGTGGGTGTCTAACCCCGTGCTCGTCAAAAAGTTGAATGGCAGGTGGAGGATGTGTATTGACTTCACCAACCTCAATGACGTATGTCCAAAAGACCCTCACCCCTTGCCAAATGTGGAGAAATTAGTGGAGCGAGCAGCTGGGCATGAACGGATGAGTTTTCTTGACGCTAGCTCGGGCTATCACCAGGTTCAGTTGCTGTTGGACGATCAGGAGAAAACAGCTTTCTACGCTGGCGACGCTATCTATTGCTATGTGATGATGCCATTTGGCCTAAAAAATGCTGGTGCTACATATCAGAAGCTAGTACAAATAATCTTTAAGCTCCAGATCGGCAGAAACATAGAAGTGTATGTGGATGACATGATAGTCACCAGCAAGCGAGCTGAAGACCATATAGACGACCTGAGTGAGACCTTTCAAAATTTGCGCCGAGCCCAAATGAAGCTGAACCCTCTGAAGTGCACATTCGCTGTAGAATCAGGAAAATTCCTAGGGTACGTGGTATCCAAGAAAGGAATTGAAGCGAACCCAGAGAAGGTTTTGGCTGTTCAGCAGATGGAGCCACCAAAGACTGTAAAGGACGTGCAACGCTTGACAGGGCGTGTAGTCGCTTTGCACAGATTCATAGCCAGGTCGGCGGAAAGGTGCCTACCGTTTTTCAAAGCCTTGCGAGAGCCCAAACACTTTCAATGGACAGACGAGTGCCAACAGGCGTTCGACGAGCTCAAGCAGTATCTGGCATCTGCACCCCTCCTGTCTAAACTTGTGGAAGGGGAGAGTTTATACCTATACATGGGAGTTACAGGAGAGGCAGTGAGCTCGGTTTTGCTCAGGGAAGAGAATAAGAATCAGAAGCCTATTTGCTACGTGAGCAAGGTTTTACAAGGTGCAGAGCAAAACTACCCGTTAGCAGAAAAGGCTGCCTTTGCCTTGGTGTACACAGCTCGTAAGTTGAGGGCTTACTTCCAATCACATCAGATTGTCGTCTATACTGACTTGCCATTGAGAAAAATACTGCAGAAACCTGAACTCTCTGGTCGGCTCATTGGATGGAGCGTCGAGCTGAGTGAATATGACCTCAAATTTCAGCCGCGCACAACCATAAAAGGCCAGGCTGTTGCGGACTTTCTGGTGGAGTGCATCTCAGCGACTAGGGAAGAAAAAGCACCTGATCACCCAGTATGGGTTTTGTATGTTGATGAAGCAGCCAGCGTTGAAGGGTCGGGTGCTGGGGCTGTACTAGTGGGCCCAGATGGTTTTAAGTCTGAACACGCACTGAGGTTTAAGTTTCAGGCGACTAATAACGCTGCAGAATATGAAGCCCTCATTTATGGATTAAAGCTGGCGTCCGAGCTGAAGGTACAGAGCATTCAAGTTTTTAGTGACTCTCAGCTTGTCGTGGGCCAGGTGAATCGCAGTTGCGACATCAGGGATCCCCAGCTTGGTCGTTATGCCTCTGTGGTCAACAGATTGAAGTCAAGGTTCGCTTCATTTCAGATCGATAAAATACCGCGGGCAGATAACCACCGAGCTGATGAGCTGTCAAAGTTGGCCTCCTCGCAGGACATTAACCCACAAAGATCGACAATCGTCGAGGTGCTTGACGCACCAAGTTACACGGATGTCACAGTCGACTGTCAACTACTCAGTACAGATCCCTTTACACCGAGCTGGACTACACCACTCATAAGTTATCTGCAAAGTGGCGAGTTGCCTGAAGATCTGTCCGCTGCAAAATCGATTAAACGAAGGGCAACACATTTCACTTTGTTAGATAACCACCTCTACAAACGTGCAGCGTCAATACCCCTCTTACGCTGCCTTACTCTTTATGAAGCTGAATATGCCGTGAGAGAAGTTCACGAGGGAGTTTGTGGCACGCACATTGGTGGCAGAACTTTAGCCCGGAAGCTCCTAAGGCATGGTTATTACTGGCCCACTATGGTCGAGGACGCACAGAATTATGTCAAAAAGTGCCCGACCTGCCAGTTCAATGCTGATGATATTCACATGCCAGGTACCCGAGCTCGTCCTATAGTTTATGCTAACTTAGTGACTGTCTCTGAACTGAGCATGAGTGCCTTCCTTTAAACAGGGGAAATGCTATCATCTCTTACGTCTCCCTGGCCTTTTGCTCAATGGGGCGTCGACCTGCTCGGCCCCTTCATCAAAGGCAAAGGAGGCTGCACTTTCCTGGTCGTCGCGGTGGATTACTTCACCAAGTGGATAGAAGCTAAACCATTATCCACAACAACAGAAAGAAAAATAGAAGAATTCTTGTTCAATTCAGTATTGTGCAGGTATTCTTTGGTGACCGAGGTCATAAAATATATGCAAACGTGATTTGTAGCTCAGCTCGCTAATCTGTGTGCAGGTTCGGCATACCTAAACGGATCATCGCCGACAATGGGCCACAGTTCCGAGCAGCAGCACTGAGATCGTTTTGTAACGACTATGGCATCGAGCTCGCCTTGACATCCGTGTACACTCCACAGTCTAACGGGCAAGCCGAGTCCGCCAATAAAATCGTCTTGCGAGGCCTCAAGACACGAGTCTTAGCCCCACATTCTAATTGGGTTGACGAGCTCAATAAAGTGCTCTGGTCTTGTCGTACTACTCCCAGCTCGGCCACGGGCGAAACCCCTTTCAGCCTGGCTTATGGAACTACGGCTGTCATCCCAATAGAGGTCGGACTACCATCTGATAGATCAAGTCGTCATGACGATCAGAATAATGAACAGCTCTTAAGAGAGAACCTAGACCTTGTAGAAGAAATCAGGGAGATGTCCCGAATAAAAAAATGGCACACCAAAGTCGTGTTGCAAAATTTTACAATAAAAGAGTTCGAGCTCGCCAGTTTCAAGTCGGCGATCTGGTCCTACGTAAAGCTGGGTTAACTAACGCTTATTCACGCATGGGCAAGCTCGCCCCTAATTGGGAAGGCCCCTATATGGTTGTTCAAGTTAAACGACCTGGCTCTTACGTATTAGCAGATATACAGGGACGTCAGTTGCCTTACACTTGGAACGTACATAATCTTAGGAAGTTTTACAGTTAGCGTGTATGTTATTAGTGCTCAGGTCGTTACTGGTCATTTGTAAACAGTGACTTACTGAACATTCAACACAGAAATTTTGGAAACAAAAGATTCAACTTTGTATTTCATCAATGAAGTTTTACATGTGTAGTACATTGGATAAATAAATTCATTGATTAACACAAGAATATAAAAAAGAAACTACCAAAAAAGAACGAAAAATCCTAAGCTAGTCGTCCGTCAGGTCGACGGGGATGGATGCGTCATTAGGTACAGCGGCAGATCGAGCTAGAGGTGACCGACCTGGTGGAGAGAGCGTTGGAGAGCGAGCAGCAGCAGCAGTAGCAGCCGGAGCGGGAGCTGAAGGAGCAGAAGGGGGGTGCTGAAGGCCTCAGCAGGCACGTCATGGGGGCTCGCCACCCAAGCATCGAAGCTTGGTAACCCCTCTGTGTCCTCTCCCTCCTCTACGACAGAAGGGGGCCACACGGGTAGCCCCTCTTCGTTCAGCTCCCACTTCAGCTTCACCTGAGTGTCAGCGGGCTGGGCGAGACTCCTTCCTTCCTCGTTAATATCTTCACCCTCGAAGAAGGCCAGCTCGCCGATGGGAAAGTCAGCCCGGACTCGCAGCACCTTTCCACGAACCTCATTGAAGATGTCCGTGGTCGTGTTGGCAGAGGCAACTGCCACGGCGTCCTGGAACATCTCTGCTCCAACCAGCCATTCAGCGCCTTGTGTACGGGCGAAGCAGAGGTCCCGCTGATGGAGCCTCTTGCACTCTTCCAAGGACGCCTCAGCTCGGGCGACGTGTTGGTCAGCTTGGGAGACCCTCTCTGCCATGGTGTTCAGGTCGTGCAGAGTCTTTTCCCTCTCAGCCTCGGCCCTTTTGGCACGGTCCTCTGCACGATCGGCCTCTTCCTTCGCGGCTTGGATGCCGCTCTCCCTCTCCACTCGGGCCCTCACGAGCTCCTCCTTCAGCTCGTCAATCTTACGGGCCAGCTCGTCAGCTTGGCTTTCAGCTGACGTCGCTCGGTCTGCCATCTCCGAGCTCTGCAAACGACTGACCTCGTCAGTCAAGTTGGCTTTTTCAGTGGCCAGTTGTTTGCAGCTTTTCTGGAGCTCGTTGTTCTGCGCCCGGGCTCCCTGCTCGCACTCAAACAGCGCGACAGTGTAGCTGAACGCCTACAATACATATTCATTCGTCAGTTTATAACAAAAGTGTGATAAAATGCAAATAAGGAGCTCGGCAGGTGTACTTACATCCATCAGCTTGATCAACGCAGCATGACCCCCATGCTGCTGAATGTGCCCCTTCGCACGCAGCCGGTCTGCAGGAGGCACGAAGTTCTGCATACCCTGCAGCATAGCAGCATGGCATTCAGTTCGCACGTAACTGAAGCCGTCGGGGTATGCAATCCTAGGCCCCGCTACAGACGACGAGGCTGGTACTTGCTCGGTGACTTCACGAGCTGGCGCTTGGGGCGCGTTGGAGGGTCTTGCAGCAACGGCCGGGACGGGCTGCGAGCCGCTGCTCGTCCTACGCCGTATGAGAGGCACATCATCCTCTGTATCAGCATCCGCATCTTCCCTTGAACGCCTTCTGGAGCCGGAAGGCACAGACTCGATTCTTTGCTCGACACGCAACCTCTGTGCCGAGCTGGAGCTTCTGTGCTGCGAGCTGCGCCCTGGTACAGCAGGTGGCCGCTCGTCAAAGCGGGACTGGCGTTGGGAGCCAGACCCCCGGCCCCTTGAGGCTTGAGCTCGTAGTCTTTGCCTCTCTAAGATGCTGCTCATTTCTCCTGCACAAATAAAAGCATAAGATTCAGGTCGGCTAGAAATCCTGCTATGTTATAAGAATATACCTTCTCCGTACAGGTTTGCCGCATCGACAAACCCAAGAAGTGCGATCTGGTCCGGGGTAACCAAGGCCTCCAGATCCACCAAACCCCTTGCCTTCACGTGATCGAGCAGTCGGTTCTTCAGGTCGGTGTCACCAACGGTCAGCTGAGGGTAGTTCATGTACGTGTTCGGTGTACGCCATTCAGACAGACGGGCGGCGAGCTCGTTATTCATCCTTTCAGTCCGTGTATCGCGCACGAAAACGAACTGCCTCTTCCATCTCGCCACCTTGTTCCTAATGTTGGTGAAGATCATCATTTTCTCTCTTCCTGAGATGTAGTACCACCTCGTCCCACTCGTAGACGGGCACAGGCGGCACAGGAAGAGCGACCTGAAAACCACCGCTTTGGTAGGCATTCCCAGCCTTTCACACAACAGCATAAACCCAATGATAAACTTTATGCTGTTGGGAGTGAGTTGCGAAAGGGCCAGCTCGTACTCTGCCAGGACATCAAAAATTAGCCCGGGCAGAGGAAAACGTAGACCGGCCTCAAAATGGTCTACGTATACTGGCACCCAGCCCGTCCGTGATACTGAGCACGCCCTTTCATTTGGCGTACCAGCTCGGATCAGGATGGTTCTGGGGATCTGGAATCGCCTCACCATCTGCTCTAGCTTCTTGTACCCTTTCACCGTGGCCGCCTCGTCTGCAACTTCGTGGTGCAGAACCGCCCTGAACCTAAATCCGGCCGGTAGGGTTTTGGGAGCTTTACGGAGATTATCTAGTCGCCCGCTGAGAACCTGGCTCTCCCACCGTTCAAATAAAACCACCTCAACTGCCGTACTCGCCGACGGCACACTGCACCCAACCTCTTCAACACCCCTTACTTCACCAGATGTCCCTTCCACAGGCGAATCACTAGAAGTTGAAGGCTGGTGGTTCTCAGAGCCGCTACTCGTGCTCGAACTAGTGCTATTCTCAGGCATGGCGGTTCTAGGCGAATCATGCAACTCCGGCGGCACTATCATGGTGATAGGCTCCACGGATATCACGTCTACGTCCTTGTCTTCACCTTGGTTACCCCGGAATCCTTGTGCATCGTGCGAAGAAGTCATTTTTACCTGAATAATGGAAGTCGAATGTCCTTTTGCTGAAAATTCTGAGGAACACTCTGGAGCGTTTCTGCAACTGTTGCTGAGGAAAATGTTAACGTACTGAGCAATGAAACAGAAATTGCCTTTTGTTTTCTCCTTCAGATAGTGCTCTGTAATTTTCGTACACGTGTTACGACCCCCCAGTTAAACGCGTCCACGTTGCAGCCATTTATGGGCAAAAACTCAAAATGCGCCGTTGCAGTTGTCATGTCTCCTCAAATGCTGAGTCAGCATTTATTGCGGGGAGGCAAAAAGGCATCTGCTAAGATCAGAAGAATATCAAACGCCCTGAGCAAATCTCCTCTGGGATTCGACACAATTGTTGAAAAATCCCGAGGTTCAGATCGCGACAAACGGCAATGATCAGCTCGTAACAAATTCGGGACCTAGGCAAATCTCCTCGAAGATTCGCTACAGTTTAAATTTTGAAAAGTCCAAGGGATCAGCTCGCTACAAATTCGCGATCTCCCCACTAGTCCGTCAAAATTCGAAACTTGAAAATCCCGAAAAACCAGCTCGTTACTAAATTCGAAAAACCTCTGGGAATCAGGTCGCACGAATCATAGATTCACCTCAGGTTCGGGCATCGAGCGTTAGATTATAACCAACTCCCTCAGAGCTGCTTTGTATCCAGAGGCATGTATCGGGGTGACGAGTGTGGTCGCGATTCTCTGCCCGTCTAGGGTCAGTGCGTCCAGCTCGTTCACTACCTGCTCATCCCAGCTCGGTCACTCTTGCACCCCTGCTCAAATCTCTGACTAGCACCGAGCTCAGCCGGTCGTAAAACCAACTCCTCACGCTTGCTCGGAATAAGGTTCGGCATACACTGGCACATCTGATCAGGCACGAGGTCTTCAAGCCGATCAGGCCGTCTATGCGTGAGGTCGTTCATGAACGCAAAGTATCCCTCCTCATCTTTAGGGCCAAGCACCATGCTAACTAGACCCCCATCCAGTTCGTCAACCGAACGCTGGGGGGGGAGTAATGTTGGGATTAGGCCCAACGCCCAATTCGGGCCACATATAACAGGCCCAACTATGCACATGCAGACCCAAGATGAGGAGACATACCCACGTGGGCCAGTGAGTTACTTACACGTAGGAATACATGTCAGTAGTTGGGGCTATAAATACCCCCCAACCACCAACAATGAAGGTAATTAATCTCTACGCTTCTCTCTCTGCAATTACTCCTTGAGAGCATCTCTTTCTAGAATATTGAGTATTGCTGACTTGAGCGTTGGAGTGTTTTCCCCGAGGAAACATCCTCGGGATTTTCAGGTGTAGAAGCAGCTGAAGACTTCAACAGTGTTGGATTGTGAAACTGCCGAAACAGTTGCAAACATCAAGAGATACGGTTGTATGCCTATATGGTCTTTTTTTTTTTTCCCCGATCTGAGTACATTGTTTCTAACCCCTTTTTTTTGGTTCCTGCAACCCTGCTTTGGTCCATTCTTTTCTAAATTTTTGAAGTCTAGGCCTGATAACATTCTAGAAGTCGAGCCCGATACATCTTTGGGAGCAAAAGTTATAGTGACACTTAAAAGTGCGACATAATTTTTTGTATTATAATTTTTAAAATATTGACTTAATTAAATTTAATTATTATAAATAATTGATAACTATAACTTTTTATTAATTATAAATAACAAAATTGCTAATATTTATTATTTAACATATTACAATAAATTTATAAACTAATATTTTCATATATCAATTAATTATATAACTATACATTATACTATAATTATAACATTTTTATTTTCTTTAATTTATGTTGTTGCTTCCAAAAATTGCACATTGATTGATGGATTA